ACTGGAATCCAGCAAAGGCTGTGGTGGGATTCCACGGTGGGGTTTGAGATGTGGTGTGTTGGGAGGACTAGGTGGTCCCTGAGGGTCCTTCCAGCTTGGGTCTCCTGAGGACGTGGGCTAGATCTGCACTGACTACAGTTGTACAAAATAGTGATCACAGCAGAGTCAATAGTGTGCCACAAGACTGTCCACACCTCCTTTTCTTTTCCTTTTTTTTTTCGGTCTAGACTATGATTTTTTTGGTGTGGGAAACTAGCTATTACAGGTAATTCTATTCATGAGCCAGTATTTCCAGTCCGTGAAAGAGGGATAAAATGAGAAAGGCCTCCAGCACTCTGGGTAGGCCCCAGGGTTAAGTGCTGAAAGGCCGAGTACTATTGTCCCCCAGGATAGGTGCTGGCCTGTACAAGGGGACCGGGCTCTTGAACCAACGAGGCTGCAGACCCCTTTGAAGAGGGAGCGTTGCCCACAGCTGCAATCAGCCACTTACTTCATCGTGGCGGTGTGCTGGGAGATGCCAGGCACCAGAGAACCCCAGTCATGCCCCAGCATACGAGCCACAGCAGAAAGGCAATCAGGCTTGAGAAAACCAGGGTGGGAGAAGAAAAGGAGCCCCAAATTCGAGGACGTTGGTGTGCGGGACTTCGCAGCCCGCCATGTCTCATCTGTAGAATACAGGACGAGATAGATGATCTAGGAAGGGCCCTTCAGCACTGAGTCTGCGATGCAGTGGCCACGTGGGGACTTGAGAGGACCCATTAAATGGTTAAGAAAGGCTTTAAAGAACAGCAGAACGCCAATTCTCAGTAGTGTTCCAAAGGAATTAGGAGGAAATCAGGGAGCCGAAACGTCTGGTCCCGGAAGTTATGTGATGGTGGTCGGTCGGTGGGTCAGTCAGTCGGTAAGCATTTATTAAGAGCCTACTACGTGCCAGGCACTGGGGGTTTTCTGCTCTCCAGGAGCCCGCAGTGGAGACCGCAGGCAAAGGTACAGAGGAGCTACGCGCAAGATGAGGAGGAAACAATCCATGGTGGGAAGGCACTAGATTGAAGAAGGCGGGAGGCAGGCTGCCTGCAGAACGGGGGATGTTAGCGGAGGCTCCAGGAAGTGGCCAGGAGATGGAGCTGAGGAGGGGGCATCTAGCTCTGCCCAGGGGCTCGGTCTGTGCGCAGCCCTTACCGAGAGCGTCTGTAAAGGGGCAGCCCGAGGCGGCCCCACTCCAGCTGAGCCTTCATCAGTCAACACCTTCCTCTTGAATTTTAAAGGGCGCTTGTAAAAAAGATGCCGTCACACAACCCTTTGTGTAATTACAAGACAAGAGGGCAGACACCCACGCGGGAGTATTTTATCTGCCTATCTCAAAGCGCCTATATTGGTTATTTTCACGCTCCTGCTACTCCCGAATCAGGAGAAAATCCCAACTTCAGAATCTGACCAAGACATGGCTTTGCAGCCTCTGCATCAGGTCCTGGTCCAATGGTCCCTTTCCAGCACCTCTCCCCCCACCTTCAGATCACTGTCTGTCTAAGTCAGCCCTTCTCTTCCCCTCGATCAGAACTCTGCTTCTATGCCCATGGGTGGGTGTTGACAGGGTGTTTTTTGGTGATTCCTGAGCTGGTGAACTTGGTATCTGCTAAAAGGGCTTGTGCTAATTTAGTGTGAGTGGGAAAAGAAATCAGGGTTTCTAGCGGAATTTCTGTATGGTGTGTGTGAGAATTTTGAACCTAGGGCTGGCTCTAGGCAAAACACTACAGTGGGGAAATTTAGCACCTCCGATTTCTGCTTAGTCTCCCAGTTTACAATCCCAATTACTGCTCTTATCAAAATTTGTTCTCAGGAAACCTAGGTTGATAAAGTCATTCACATTAAAGTGCAAAGAGCCCACGTGGCTGGATGTGAGTAAGTCTACATTTTAATAAAGTCTTAAGTCGAAAGAATGAAGCTCTAATTGTGAAATTTCAGGCATCAGCCCTCTCAGATGTAGAAGGCATGTACAATAACTTCCCAATGCCCCTAAAAAATCATAAGCCGTAGGTGGCTATCTCCATGCAGGCCTCAGTCAGCCCTACCTAAGACCATGTGATCGAAGACAGAACAGGACAAGTGGAAATGTAGTTTCTCCAGACCTAAGTGAACAAGGAGGTATTCTGGGAGTGTTTGGGTCAGGGATAATGAAGGCATTCTTTCTTGCTGAGTAACTTCCAGATTACTTTCAAATGCTGCAGAGGATATGGAAGATGTATATAAGCAATAATATGTGCCTAGGTGTGTATTAATTGGGCCCAGCAGTGACTGTGGGCTTGGAGTGGAGGCACGAGCACAGGTATGGCAGGCAGCCTGCCCCCAGCTCAGGATTGCCTCCTTGGTAGGCATTTTGGCCTGTGTGGCTAATCTTATGGTTGAGTTGAGAGTTCTCTGTGCCAGGAGATGGTCTAAATTATTCAGAGCTCCATCTCTGTTTGGCATCTACTCTTCTCCCTACACAGCCCAGGCCACAGCCTCCATGACCAGGGATGCACAAGTGTCTCTGTCCACTCGTCGATTGGGGGCCATAACTAGAGAATCCTGGCTCCCCAAAACTGGAAACACCCAAATTGCAAGGTGGAGAGTTGTCCTCATATTTAATCCCCAGTTTTCTGACATATTTTAGTATCTCTGTGGCAGTTCCCATGGAAACATATCTGTTGGCAAAGAAAGTCTATCTCTCTTAGCTTTCTGCACAATGAGGACAGGGCCTTCATGATCTGAATGCAAAAGCCAAGGAGAGACCAATGGTCCGTGGGCTCAGTGCCATCTCCCCCACACCAGCTATTTCTGCCTCTCCGATCCTGGTAACAAATGCCAGCTGCCCACTAGCTCAGAACATCCACTCCTTTCCCCGCCCATCCATAGATGTGAAGTTATGAAATGCCTGCCACCAATCCTAGACAGCTTCCTCTCTTCCCAAGTCCCATTTACCCATGTGGCCAATGGCAGTCCCTCTGGCCACGGGATCTGGCAGGGACAGCCCCAAGGCTCAGGCTTCCTCCTACAAGCAATCTCCAGACCTGATCTGGGGAAACTTCTGGGAGTCACCCAGGGCTTGACTGTGCCCTGGACCACCATGTGGGTTGTCATCTCAGGTGACTCTCCATTGCAACTCGTTCCAGCAGACACATAGGGACCACTTAGCATCTGCAAGGCACTGAGTTGGGTTCTGGGGATCTAAGCTAGAAATGAAAAATTGTTCCTGCCCTCAAAGAGCTTACAATCTATTGCGCAATGTAACATGTGAATATGTAAGTAAATACCAGAGAATGGAAACAGGGCAAGAAACATCCCCCTAGTGCTAGAAAGCACTGGTCAGTGGAGGGTTTGTTGTGCACAAAGACTGGAGTATCAGAGTAGAACTTCTAATGTGTAATTAAGTGGTAAACCATCATGAGGGGAGGGCAGGGAGACCCGGGAGCTCCCAGGATAGCTGAATTCTACCACAGGAAGAGACAGAGGAGAGGAAGACTGGAAGAAGGCAGGGATTCGGATGCTGAGTTTCAGAAGTGGTGCTGGGGTGTGCAGCAGGCCCACGGATGGAAGCAAGATTGTTACAGTGGGGGGGGGGAAGAGGTTGGGGAGGAAGAACAGGGTGCTTCCTGTGATCTAGGGAGGAAAAAAAACTTGGGAAATGATCTGGGAGCTAAGGAAATGAGAGCTCAAGGAAAAGGGGAGACAAGATTTAGAGAAACTTTCTCTGCAGAAGGGAAGTCTAGGAATGAGTGTGGCTTCACCCCTCCTTCTACCTAATGCATCGTGCCAGGCTTTATCCTCTTCCACGATATTTATTTTTGGAACAGTCTATGAATTTCCTTCAAAAGTTTTACCCCTCGCGATTTCATAGCCAGCACCACCTTCATAACCCAACCTTGCAATGTGATCTTGTCAGATTATTGAGGAAACACTGGAAATGCCCACCAGTTATAACAGAGAAATCCCATACTTGAATATGCTTTCTAAAACCTTAATGAATTCAGGGTAATGAAAACAGAATCAGCACTAGCGATGAAATACGATTGTCTTGACTATAGCTAGGAAAGTTATCATATGCAGATGCTCATTATTTTGCTGGTTCTTTATAGAATGTATAAGCTTATGAATATTCTTGTCTGAAGTTTAAATGTTAGCTGCTTATATTGCACAAAGGTATTTTTGGCCCTTTAAAGCTTATTTTCATATATTGAACAAATTTTATTACGACTCAGGTTTGTATATATGTGTATATACACTCACACCCACACACACATATGGGCATTTTCTTTTATGTTGCTGCAGTTATCTTGCGCAGTAAGATCATGGGGATTAGCAGTGGCCTTTGATTAACGGCCAGATAGGAACCAATGAATTTATGACAAAGGGACATGGAAATTTTACTTCCCATCCTGGGCAGCAAGCTCTGGCCTTCATTATCTCCCCCTTCCCACCAGCCAAGTTACTTGCTACTTAGGCAGGAAAGCTGGAATGGTTTTGGTTATTTAATGGAAGCCCTGAGGCTAACCGAGAAAATCCATCTGTGGAGGACTGTGGAAACTTTCCCATACTGGGAACACAAAACCATTTGTTATCATGTTTACTAGTGATGAATTTTATTTTCAACAACGGAACAATTTTGCCCTGCAGGCCATGGCAGCCACCACAAGTAGTAAGGCTGGGGAGCAACGTGGTGGCCCTGAGTGAGCCCTTAGAAGTAAGTTTGGGTCCCCTTAGCTGACTCCTCTTGTTTACTTTAGGAACTCATAGGCATCTCCTATTGCTAAGTCCCATTGCCCGCCTCTACGAAGCCTAGCTTTACTGTTTAGCATTCAGAAAAAAAAAAAGAGACCTGAAAATCCACATAGAAACCACATTGTAGGCGCTAGAACAAACCAAGTTTCTCCATCGATCCTTCGTGGAGAGGAGCTGGGGGACCAAAGGTAACATACAGCTCATTATCTTGTTTTTTCGTTTGTTTTTTTAGTGTGATGGGAAACTTTTTTTTTAGTAGAACACTGTATTGTGAATCTTTTGAGATTCTTTGTTTGGATTCTAACAAATAACCTGCAAGAGTGAAGCTTCTAAGTTATTTCTTTTCTGCCCTCTCTCATCTCCCAAGGGTAAACCCCCTGGATTAATACACCAGTGTTGGGCCCTGGGAGCCCCTACTAGCCAGACCAGAATCACAAAACTAGAAGCAACTTTCGGCCAATGATTACAGGCAAGGAGGATGCCGTTTCCCCTTCCTCAGTAGTGGGTGTTTCCAAACTCAGTGTTGGAAAACGGCTCATGGAGATCATCTCTCTTCTCCTACTTTATGCCCCATGACTGTGGTTGCCCTCCCCCTAATCCCATGGCCAACACTTCCCGTTTCACCTCTGCTTTCCCATGGGCAGCGATCGAGTTTTGTAAATTGGGGGTGAAGAGCATGATTGATTGGGTGAAATATTTTGCTGCCTTCAGGAGTGATGCTAGGCTAGCTTCAGACAGTGGTTTGTAGCCAGCCTTCTGGTGCCTGGCGTGTGGCGCTGCAGCAGCTCGAGCACTGACCGGGGGAGCCCCGTTGCCGCTGTTAGGGTGTCAGGGCAACGTGGGAGCAGAGGAATCAAGGGGGGTCAAGGCCAGATTTTATGATTGCTTCCTCATTTAAGGCTTCTTTTTGTCATCTCCGTGAACATTTCTATGCGCAGGGTAGTCTCCACTGACTTATTCTGACATCCTGTATATTAGTGCGTGTCATTTCACTGCAGAGACTCCAGCCGGACACTCCCCTTGTAAAGCTTTTACTGACCAGTTCCCCCAAAGCCCAAGAGGCCGGATCTTTTCAAATCGGGGCCTTTTCGGTCTCTTGGCTTTACATGGGTGGCTTTGTCTAACAATTCTGCGAGAAAAACAAAATGCAACAGTTTTCTACTTGGGAGTAAGTACTGTAGCCAATTCAAAACAAATAACTTACTTTAATAAAAATTTTACCATTTTATAAAAAAGTTATTTGAGGACATGTTTAATTATGATGGAAATGGCTGTATTGTAACTAATATTTTGAGAAAATTGTGATTTTGAGCTTCAATGATATATAAATACTTGTCATTTTTGTATGTGTTAACAGATTGCTATATTAAAACAACTAACTGTACTTTTCAGTTTAACTCCACCTTGTTGTAAATAAAGCTGGATGAAGAACTATTTACTACTTTATTAACATAGATTGTGAATGTACTTAATGGGTTTTTTTTTTTTGCAGTTATAACATACTGAACTTGAGAACTGTTTCATTTTATGTGCAAAAAGGTCCTTTAAAACTCAGTTTTAAATTGACAGATTTGGTGATTCACTGATGCTGTTAGTTAATTTGCACACGCAAGCTGTATCCTTCCAGTCTGACTTTCTGTACTGACACTAATTGCTGAGGGTGTACATTGTGACTCCAATGCACTTCGAAGACGCTTTCTGTACATATACAAAATACAGGGACTCAGACAATGCTGTGCAGTGTGCGGCAGAGCCTTTTTTTGCCTTTGCTGTACTCAACTTTTTCAGTATTTAAAAAAAGTGTTTTGAATAACAAAGTCTCTTTATTGTACAAATAATAAAATTTCACCTTATTGTAAAGTGTCTTTTGTTTAATGTAACAACAGACTTGTGAGCTGACCACAAAGGTGGTATGAACAGTCACGTTTCCCCTTAGTAAGATAAAAATTGTAACTTGGATTTAAAAAATGCATTATCCATAAATAACAAATATCTTCATCTTCATTTTCTTCTCAAAAAAAAAAAAGGTTCTGAAATCTACCCAAATGAGATCCTATTTTGAATATGTCAAGAGCTAAACAGACCACGAATCTTCTTTTTAAATTCAGCTTCCTTACATCAAGTTCTTCAAAAGAAGATATTCTGTATTAGCCCAATTGGGATCTCAAATCTATCAACAAGTTCAAGGTTATAATGACGTCATTAAGACATGCAAAGCTGCACTTCGGACAGTCGCCAAGCACTCTCCAGGCAGTTTCTGAGGGTGCATGTCCACAACGGGAGACACTCAAAAACCTTCTGGTACCTCAGAGCTTTTGTCTAAGTCCCAGAACATCCAGAAGTGATCTAATCTGAAGGCTGGTACAAAGGATGGCGCCCAACAGATTACAGAAAACAGTGAGCTGTTGAGATGCAATCCAAACGCTTTAATTTGCGGCGGGCATGATACAGCAACTTCAGGAGTAAGAGGGCATAAAGAAATAACTAAAAAGCTAAGTTGGGTTCACTAATAGCTCTTTCCTTATGGGATATGACACATGTTTGTTCTTCAGTAAATGCTTTGATCAAAAAGAGTTACACGCAACAGGGAAACATGGATTCTCAGCATCTAAAAATAAATGCTGCAAACAGAATTATCTTAAAAAATCACACAAAGTGTATCTTCTCTTGAAGGCAGGTTGTTGCGGGGATCTCCATCCACCACGTCAGCATTGATGGGTTACTCACAGAACCTCCAGTCTTCAGAGGGCTGCCTGGGGCACTGAGAAGTCAACTGACCTGCCCAGCACTGTCATCAGAACCAGGGCAGTGCATGTCCTTGAAACCTTACATCACAAATTCTTAGCATTATCAACAAGTGTTGTTATAAATTTTTCCACAAAACACAAGGAAAGATAACAAAGTACTCCCATATAAAGGTCCAAACATACACACACACATAATAAAACAAAATGTTAAAAAAAAAACCCACCCCTCATCTTTTACAAAAATGCTGTCATTATAAAAACAAAATCAACTTTAAATAGGAATGATATTTCAGTCATAGAAAACACTATTACCTTTTTTTAACTCTCAAAACTTTTAAGAATGAATGTATGAACACACACGAAGGCTGCAGTAATCACTATAAAGTTGTTATACATTATTTTCCGGGTAAAAACAATATTTAGTGGTAATAAGACTGTAAGAACATTTGTTTCATGCCCCAGATAAATCACAGCAATAACTGATACACTGTTTCAAGAAACCATCAGGTGAAGGACAGCAAATCAGCTCTCAGACAAGACTTTGAACGCTCCCCAGCTCTTTGAAGCACGCAAATCCATTAGCTGGCCAAAGGTTACAAAATTCCAATTAAGTAGGAATGCGGTCTCTTAAATACTCCAGAACAGCATCTGTTCCTTTAGCTAAAATGGCTGCTCGAGGAATTCGGAATGGATTCCCCTCCAGCAGAAGGGTCCTGGAGAAAGGAGAGAAACCAGGGATTGTTCACTTTCAGTGAGATGGACTTCCCTCTCCAAAACCTAGATAGAGCATTTTTAAAGTAGCATTTTTCAATCCCCATTTTGAGACCGGACATCTGACCAAAATCTACCTCGACTTTTTCCTTTCACAGATGCTCCACTGATGGGCAAAAGCTCAAGACTAGGGTCAATCTGCCCCAAATCTGGAATGACGGAGGGCCTTTTTCCTCTCTAGCCACTTGCACTTAATATTAAATTATCTTTAACTAAGATAATGTTTCCCTCCCCTTCCGACCTTCACTGTCCAATGCATTCCCACCATTTCATACACATACTGCTGCTGCCTCTTTCTTCTCTTGTTAAAGATGTGTTACATCTAATTAGAGGATACAGGAAACTTTTCTAGATTAAGTTCCAGTTTTTCACTGATTCACTGATGTTCAGCTTTTTCATAGTTCATTGACTTAGGACCGACAGAGTGTTCAGGGACCATCTAAACCCTCACTCTGTTTTCAAGTGACATGCCCAAGGTCACACAGGTGGTAGAACCAGAATCACCACTGTTACCACCTTGTGGCCTATTTCCTCACTGACAAGAGCCCTTAAGGGGTTCACGTCAATGGTCCTCTGGCAGTCCCCAAAATGAACAATCTGGGTCCTGGCTCTGACCTATGTGCACACCATCAAACATCTGGTCTTAAGTTTCCCAACCCAGAAGCAAAGGCTCAACCACAGGACTGAAGACACCCCGAACTGTCCATAACCATCTTGGGGCATGAGGAGGGGGTGGCACAGACACACATTCCAAGTCAGTACAGTCGCGATCCCAAGCAATGGCCTCCTCTAGACATGAATCAATTACAGTAAGAGCCAGTGCAGCGCCGTTCAAGCTGCTGCTCTGCGGCAACGTGGTGCTGCAGCAGGAAGTGGCGCGAGGAAGGTTGGCATCAGTGAGGTCTGAGAACTTCCAACGCCCCCTCCTCACAATGTGCATTCATGAGGCAGCTTCAAGTCAATTCCTAGAAAGTTTAGGCTCCCTTCCTATTCAGACGTAAGCCGTGGATCATTCTCCTACAGTGCAATGGACACGGAGCTGCATCTGAATCAGACAAGCTGGATTCTAATCCTCGCTCTGATACCTGCTACCTGTGCGATGCTGGGAAGGTGTCTTAACCACTTTCAGCCTCAGGTTCCTCAAAAGTAACATGAGGAGGCAGGACCAAATAATCTCTTCAGGTCCCTTCCAGTTATAAAAATACAATCTTTTGATGCACGTGTGAAGTTGTACGACTCTAATGAAGACGCAGTGAGCAACAAAGTCTAAGCATGTGCGAGCAGCTGAATGCTGTTGTCTAACACAGCTTACAACACAGTTACCCTGGCACACGCCGAGAGACACAACCGGTGCTGACGGTCCGTCTGTGCAATTTCAAAAATGCTGCTCAGACAATTTGTTATTCAGGGGAAGGGCCTGGGGCCTCCTGGTGGGAGGGGTCACAGAAAACCCTTTTGAGATGACCCCCACTCTGATCCCCCCGTGCTGAGCAAGGGGAGAGGCCCCCTGACTGGTTGTCAGAGATGTACCTTCTTCCCAGACCAGAGCCGATGACTAAGAATGAAGACGACCCAAGTATCTCAACCCCCTGGTTCCATCTGTAAGACAAAGATGTCACCTCATCAAGGCAACACCAGCAAAATGAATTTGTGGCCACCAGAGCACACTGAGCAGTCTCTTTTCCTTAATCTAATAAAAAGAAATACACATCCACACAACGGGGAAAGAGAGAAAAATGCTTCACATGCAATACTACTGATTTTAAATTCTACCTGGAAATTCAAAATGACTCTCCACCTTTAGAAAGAGAAAACTACCCCATTATTATTTTGAAAAATTCCTTTGAGACCAAAACCCGTCCCTAAGCCTTCCTCAAATAGCACATCACGCCCAATAAACAGGAACCCTTTCAGAAAATATTGGCGTTATATAAGTCTCCAGGTTGTCATTTGTTTTTAGCTTAGAATCAAATGTTTAGGATTGCTCTTACTACTGACAACTGTGGGGGTTATATGAATGAAAGCACTCGATTGGAAAGGAGGAAGAAAAGCAAAGGGCATAAAAATAGCTAACATTTATCTGGTGCTTCCTGTGTGCCCAGCAGGGTGCTAAGCACTTAACAATGATTGCCTCATTTGATCCTCACAACCACCCTGGGAGGGAGGTGCTATTATCCCCATTTTACAGATGAGGAAACTGAGGCAAACAGGCAAACTTGCCAGAGTCATACAGCTACCTAGTGTCTGAAGCTGGTTTTGAACTCAGCACTTCCCACTCGGGCCTGGAATGCTTGCCTCCAACTACCCTAGAATTAAAATAAAATGGAATATTTGGGGCCAAAGAAAGATTCACAAATTTTACTTGGAAACTTTCGGCTTTTCTCTTGCCTATGAAAAGATGAAGAAGGAACTAAGACAGTGAGCAGGCACCAGTGAATGCTGCGCTGGGCGGCCAGCTCTCCGGTTGGTCTGACGAGGCGCTGCTCCTGCTCTGGGGCAGACGCATTCTTCCACAGGGACTAGTCTAAATTAAAAACTTACAGCTTTGTTTTGAACTCTGGTTTTTAAAACTTTAATTAGTGCCCCAATCCTTGAGAATCCTTACTGCATTTCTTTAAAGAAGAAAAAAGGCCATGGTTAGCCTACAGACCAACACTTCTGACCAAACCCCCTGGTAGAATTCGGGCCCCAAACACTGCTCCCCAGGGATGCCCCTCCCCCTTCACCTCACTTGTGGCAAGAAATCAGCCCCAAAGAACCAGGCTTTGATTTCAACCAACAAGGAAGGGCAGCAACTAAACTGCAGACTGCCCACGAATGGCTGGCCCTACCTCAGACTCACGCAGTGGCCCAGCTCAGGCGGGATGTGGAGGAGGTCATTGTTCTGAAGGTCCAAAGTGGCCAGCTTGTCCATCCGCTTCAGCTGCAGGGGGTCCACAGATCCAACCTGATTGTTACTGAGGAGGACGGTTTCGAGAGTCCGGAGCCGATACAGAATGCTGGGGAACGTTTTAAACCTGTGAAGAAACTCAATTAGGTTGTTCCAGAAGCCAGAATAAATTCTTAAGATGGACAAATGAAATAAAAATACGTCACCTTTAAACTTGAAAACCCTTTCTTTCAAAAGTTCTTTTATTTTTAACAAACAAACAAGCATTCATTTTTCAGTATTTATTGTATGTTAGGAACAGTGGGAAGAGCTGAGCCCCCCACCCTGGAGGGGTGTGTGCTCTGGAAGAGATGTGGGCATTCCTCCCTCCTGTCCCTTGCCCACACTCCTCTGGCTCCTGGGCCCAGCTCCAGAGCATCCACTTCGTGAAGCCTTTCTAGACCCCAGGAATTCCTCCCTCCACTGACACGCAGACCTCTTACTGCCTGTATAATTTCTTAGATAAGAATGGGATTGATAAGGCACAGAATAGAGACCAATATCAGTCTAAAAGAAAGTATTCACTAAACAGAGTGGCAGGAGAGAAAGTCAGAAAAGCAGGCTGGAGACAGATCCCAAGGGCCTTAAATGCCAGGCTAAACAGCTCGGCCCCTGGCCAGAACTGACTGGGCATGGAAGACCTAGACAGTGATAAAACCCAGGACAAAACACTGGCTGCATGAACTATGGGGAAGCACATGAGCTCTCAGGGCTTGAAGCAAAGGAGACAATCACTTGGCCACCTCCCTATTTGCACTGGTGCAGTTTCTGCACAGGGAGCTCCTTATACTAATGAAACCATAGGTCTCAAAAACAAAAAAGAATGCTCTAAATCACTATTGATTAGAGAAATGCAAATTAAAACAACTCTGAGGTACCACCATTACATCTATCAGATTGGCTAACTTGACAAAAAGGGAAATGATAAATGTTGGAGAAGATGTGCTGTTGGTGGAGTTGTGAACTGAACCGACCATTCTGGAGAGCAATTTGGAACTATGCCCAAAGGGCTATCAAACTGCATACCCTTTGACCCATCAATAGCACTACTAACTCAACGTCCCAAAGTGATCATAAAAAAGGGAAAAGGACCCACATGCACAAAAATGTTGACAGCATCTCTTTTTGTGATGGCAAAGAACTGGAAATCAAGGCGGTGCCCATCCATTGGGGAATGGCTGAACAAGTTGTGGTACATGGATGTAATGGAATACTACTGTTCTATAAGAAACGATGTGCAGGCGGATTTCAGAAAAACCTGGAAAGACTGAAATGAAGTGAGCAGAACCAGGTGAACACTGCACACTGCAACAGCAACACTGTGTGATGGCCAACTTGGACAGACTTCACTTTTCTCAGCAATGCGATGAGCAAAGACAAGTCTAAGGGACTCATGATGGAAAATGCTGTCTGCAGCCAGAAAAAAAAACACGGAGTCTGAATGCAGATCCAAGCGTACGGTCTTCTCTCCTTTGTTTTCTTTCTTGCGATTTTTCCCTTTTGCCCGGATTCTTCTTCCACAACATGACTAATGTGGAAATGTTTGATACGATTGTACACGGATAGTCTGTATCAGACTGCATAACGTCGTGGGGAGGGAGGAGAAGAGGGAGAAAAAAATTTGGAACTTAAAATCTTGTAAAAATGAATGTTGAAAACTATCTTTGCATATAATTGGAAAAAGTAAAACACTATTAAGTGGGGGGGGGAATCAAAAATAAAAAAAGAGTATCAACAAGATTCTAAGAGAAAGAGGTTAGCCACAAAGAGAAACTGGTGACTCCAGCCCCCAGATGATAATTACTGGGAATCAAGTGACAGACCGACGTGGTTGGCTGCTGTCCTTTGTGCTCCAAAAGAACCAAAACGATATCCCTATGCTAGATTCCAGTTACAGTGTGTCTGCCTGTGGCTGACCAGACCAGTACGAGCTCGGAATGCTCTACCACAGGTCAGGCACAAACATCCATGGGAACATTTGGGGTGCATTCTCTAAATTTGCACATCTTATGTTTCTTCTGAGCTACTTCAATTCTGCTTTGCTCATAGAGTACAGCACCTTTGTAAATTATATAATGAAGGAAGAATTGAGAAAATCTATTTACTGATTGTATACAGGGATCCAGAAAGAGGCAAAAATAAGAGACAACTAAAAATGATTTTGAGAACTAAAAAAGATTAGGAACATACAGTACTGCTAAAGGAGGTGGAGCTGGTTTGGGAAAATAAAAATTATTTAACACAGTCTGAAAATATGCAAAAGCTCCAGGTTATGTTTACCTAAAAGACACAGAATTAAAGAGAGAAAAAAGAATGGGGTCAAGATGGGAAGAACAGAGAGGGAAAGTGACCAGAATAAAGGAAGAGAGAGAATAAGAGAGACAAGCAGGGGAAACCAGTTTGAAAAACAGAAAGGAGGTGGTAACAAGAACTCCAACCGTGAAAGGCCAGCCACTAGCTTCCCGGCCCCAGACTCTGCTTAGAGGGTTATTTTCCCAATTACTTAGCACTTGTGACCAGCGCTCTGCTCAGTTCTAAGCTGGCAGCTGCCCACCTCCTTACTCCTGCCCCTGCTCTTCCTTCTTTAGCTTTCAGAAAGGGGCAGCCCCAGTGCAGAGCAAGCACAGCATCCTCTGTGGGGGCTGGAGGATTGCCCTTGGCCCTCAGTCTAGGGAGAGATGACAGACTGTGGTCAACAAAGAGGTTCTAAAGAACATGACCCATGCTGAAATCTGACTGCTTCCTTTAAATCTGAAAGAACTTGTCCTTTCTGAATAGGTGAAAAGAACAGAATGAAAGGAAAACAAAATGTGTGCCTTTTAATGTGAACCCAAAGAAACGCAATGCTGACTATTTCACTGCTTTCAAACAGCACACTGAAACAGAAAAAGAAACATTATTTTTAACTAGTGTGAAAAGCACTTAAAAAACTCTTGCCACATATGAGTTATGAATATGGTAGAAGTAAGGAAAAGGAGGAAGCATTCATTAAGCAACTACTATGTGCCGGCTGCTGTGCTAAGTACTTTACAGATCTCACCTCATGTAACTGGCAAAAATGAGAATTTACTAGATTACAAGAGGAAGAGCGTAGCCACAAGGAGAAGCTGGTGACTCCATGCCCCAGGTGATAATCGCTGGGACTTCACAGCTACAGACTGACAGGGTTGGCTGTTGTCCTTTGTTCTCCAAGAGGACCAAAAGGAAAAGCCTGCCAGGCAGCTGCTACTAGGACCCCTATTTTACAGCTGAGGAAACTAAGGCAGACAGAGTGAATGACTTGCCCAACGTCACACAGCTAATGATTGACTGAGGCTGGACTGGAAGCTAGGTCCTCCTAACTCCAGGCCCCATGCGCTGCGCACCGTGGCACCCCATGGCTACTTCTAAAGAGATGGAAGAGAACTGGACTTGGAACCAGCAAGATCTGGGTTCAAGTGGTGGCCCTGATCCTTTCTGGCTGTGTGCCTTCACTTCTCTGTTCTGCCCTCAGCAAAACGGGCTAACACATGCCCTACGTGCCCCACCATGGGCTGTGACAAACAGAGAACTCTCCAGGGGGCAGCCCCAATGACGCTCCCTCAAGTCTGCTGAGCTGCTCGCAGGTCAGAGGGAGAACCGAGTGGAGTTGACAGAACCCACGTCTGCAGACTGGCGCTGGATTCTCTGGCTGGTCATCTGCCGGGATGCTCACCTGTTACAGGACAGATTGATAGTCTGCAGTTTCATCAAGGCTTCCATCTCCTCAGGCAAAGAGGCCAACAGATTATTTCTGTGGGGAGAAAGACAGGGGAAGGGGGAGGAGGTGAGAAGGGAGAGTAAGGGGAAGGGGAAGGGAGGAAAGGGAGGGAGAGAGGGAGAGATTTACTTAGTAACCCAACAGTAACACAAATGCTTCCTCCAGAAGACAGGGACCAGGCTAGGCCTATGACATCTCTTGTTTCCACTCCTGGCTGGGGGTGGGGTGGCCCTCAGGTCCTCTGCCACCCCATGGCTGCAGGAGAGCGTCCAGGGCAGTGGTCTCACATACTAGGCCCAGCCCCATTCCTTCCAAGGTCATGCTGTGCTTCCTCTTTCAGAGTTAACATGGGAGTTTGTTTTCATAGCAGTCTGTCAAGATTCCTCAGTCTACCTGCCCAGGACTTTAAGAAAAACAAAAGAGCCCAGGTCAGTCTGGGAAGGAATCATACCTCAAGGTGGCAGGGACCAGAAAACACTGCAGGACCAAAGTGTGAGGGCTCTGGAAGAACACACCTGGGACACAGTGGGAAGCTGATCTTATTGGAAAACCTTCTAGTTACGCACAGTATCCCATTCAGGCAGGAATAATTCTGTGGAGCCTACTAGTGCTGGGGCCAGAGTCCAGCCTTGTGGCTACTGGAGGGGATGGGGAAGAATTACTTTCTACTTGGTCATTTGGTCCTCTGGTCATCAGTGGAGAGGAGCTTTCCATTTCTTTTGTTTTTGAAAACAGGGCCAGACCCTACCACAATCTCTCAAGCCCCTCAGCACAGGCCCTGCACCCTTTCATCACAGATGAGGCTGATAATGACAGGGCCCACCAAGGATAAATGAAGGAAGGAAGATATACCCCTTCCACAGTCTATGGTCCTTCCTTACCTTTCTCCTCCTGTCTCTTACTCTCTCCTTAAAGCAGCTTGCCAGAGCAAGCTGCCCCATAGCGCAGAACACAGATGAGCCACCCCAAAAGGAAGGGAGCCACTATTTTCTCTGGGCCACGCCACTGCCTCCTGAACCTCCCTGAGCACACACCAGCCACCTCTCCCAGAAGGCTGTGCTGAAAAGCTGCCCATAAATAATGATCGCTGTGGCTGCACCTGAGAACGTGGGCCTTCACTGGACCAGAGCCTTTTTTGTCCAACGGAGAACCCTCTCTTAATTTAACCCGTCTCCTCCTAGGTGTTTTATCTCTTTGGGACACACCTATATCAACAGGAAATTAGCGCCATGTTGCTGTCATCACTTCTGAAGTTCTTTTAGTAAAAAGTTGAATGGCTTGTTGGCTCGGCTCAACTCTCAGCTCCACTACTGTCGGCTGTAACCAGGTGTCCATATTTAATGCATGTTCAATTAACAAAGCCCCCAACAGGACCCTTAACGTCTAGATCAGGGGTGCGGCCCTTTGAACGAATCCAAGCTTTACAGAACAAAACCCCTTACTAAATGGATTTGTTCTGTAAAACTTGGACTCAAGTCAAAAGGCCGCACCCAAGGTCCTAGAGGGCCACATGTGGCCTCATGGCCACAGACTCCCCACCCTTGTACAGCTAGTCTAGCCACAATTCAAAGATTAACTTCAATATCTGGAAAATGTGACTATGAAAGGAAAGATGGCAAAACCTCCCAGGACAATCATGACCACGACCCTAACAAGGCAAACCTGATGTCCAGATGGGTCAGTTTTTGAAGCATGCACAATTCTGCAGAAATACAGGAAAGCTTGTTAAAGCTGAGATTGACATCACACACAGCTGCCTTCAGTTCCACAATCCTGAAACAAAAGTACACACACCATTCGGCAATTTCAGAGCCTGAATGCTGCCAGAATTTCACTGAAGATTCATTTCAGCTAAATGACCTTTAGTAAGCAAAGCGCTTCCATGCTTCTCCCCAGACATTTCACAAACAATTTACAATTTTTTATTTTTTCAAAAGTATGAAGTATCATCCTAGATTTCCAAGTGTCCAGTCAGTGTGGCGAGAACACTGGGCTTGGAATTTAGACAACATGGGTCTGAATTCAGCAGTTCAGCATCGGACACTTCCTAGCAATACCCTCAGTCAGCCTCGGTTACATCATCTATAAGATGCCCAGATCCCACAATGACCCTGACATCGAAAATCCTCTCATCTGCTTGGCTTTGATGAAAACATTCCTTGAATACTAAAGGAAGTATTTAACTTTTTAAAAAATGTAGAATGAACTTTCCAGGTGCCTCCATGCTTGGTTCAGACTACAGGGTACTAGCCCCTGAAATCTCATCACTACCCAGACAGTAGGCTCAGCTCTGGATACTCAATGCCTGCTCTGCCTTCTCAGCCACCTCTCCCCCTCTGACAGGAAGGGGGGGGGGCACGCGAAGCAAGAAGCTCCTAAAGCCTCCCTGCACAGAGAGGCCTCAGAATTCTCTGAATTCTCCACACAGCCATGTTTTTCAACAGCAGCTCAGTCTAGTTTCACCTCCCTGGCCACTGTGGCCTGCTGACCCCCAACCCCCTTCTGAGCTTCCTTCTGTGTGCTGTCTGCCCCATTAGAGTGTAGGCTTCCTGAGGGGCAGGGACCATTTCTTTGCCTCCTTTCGTATACCTGGAGCTATTTTGTTGCTCAGTCATGTCCAACTGTCCATGATCCCATTTGGGGTTTTCTGGCAAAGACACTGGAGTGACGGGGCAGCTAGGTGGCACAGTGGATAGAGCACTGGCTCTGAAGTCAGGAGGACCTGAGTTCAAATCCGGTCTCAGACCAAACACTTGACACTTACCAGCTGTGTGACCCTGGGCAAGTCACTTAACCCCAACTGCCTTAAAAAAGAAAAAAAAAGACACTGGAGTGATTTGCCATTTTCCTCTCCAGCTCATTTTACAAATGAGGCAACTGAGGCAAACAGGTGACTGGCCCAGGGTCACACAGCTTTGAGTGTCTGTGGCCAGATTTGGTCTCAACACACATCCAGGACACTGGTATCCTGGCTATTCCATGAACAAGACATCCCTCTCTCAGCTCTGGAGGTTTTCTCTTGCTATCCCTCCATGCCTGGAATGCTGTCCCTCCTCTGTTCCAGCTCTGGACCTCCCGGGCTTCCTTTAAGTCCCAACTCAAATCCCACCTTCTACAGGAAGCCTTCCCCAGTCCTCTTAACTCCAGTGCCTTCCCTCTGTTAACTATTTTCCCATTTATCCTGTATGTATCTTGCTTTATTATTTATTAAAATTAGTGTTTATATTTTTATTATATAATAAATATCATGTGTTTATTAAAATTATTAATATTAACATAATATTTATTATTTATTATTATCCTGTATATAGCTTGCTCTATTAGATTGTAGGCTCTCTGAGGACAGGGACTGACTTTTGCCTCTTCCTGGGCACACAGTACCTTCTTAAATGTTTACTGATTGACTAACTGATTGACAGTCTGATCAAGGACTCAGAACCCAACATGGCATCAGCCCAAATGACCCTCTGAAAATGGAAATGGGAGGCAAATTAAAATGTCCTTCAATTCTTCTCAATGTCAGATCTCTATAGTAAAGGAATTGGGCTGATCTTGGCAATGAGATGTCATACATGCCATTTTCCTGGCACACAGCTGTCTGAAAGCTGACTTACATTTATCATCATGAATGAAATTTTACTCAGCACCAGAGAGGGTGCAGAAAATTGTATTATTATATCCGGGAATCTGGAAAAGAAGATTGAATTTTTTAGGGATAAGAACAGTAAGCTCCCACACATACTGTTGGCAGCTTAAGACAATCTCTCTCCAGGGTGGCAGCTGTCTGAAATTTTATAAAACCAATGGAAATATTAATACCGCCCATGGATTAACACAGACTGAACACTGGTTAATTCCTTGGACTTTTCTTCTAATGTTGCATCTGAAAAAAGCAGGTAAAACATTTAGTTACTAACTGTAACACATATTTTAAAAGTCAAATGTGCGAAAAGTAAATAGCTTCTTTTGAGGATCCTTGGGTCTCATGAAAAGTACTTGTTACTATTTCTCTAGCTGATACTAACAGCAAGCCAAATTCCACTTAAAAAAGATGAAAGCAAGCATTAAAAAATCAGTCAGTCAGCAAGCGTTTAGTAAACAGTTACTTTTTGCCAGGTGTTGTGCTAAGCTCTGAGAATACAAAGAAAGGCAAAAAGTCAATTCAATGGAGGAGCCTACGAAAAAGAAAGAACTCTGACCCCCAACTTCAGAAGGTGTTCATCCATCTCTGTGCACAAACTCCACAGAAATGCTCTCAGGAGCCCAGTCCCTACCTTTTTGGTACCTCATTTAGATGATTCTTACTGAAGTTTATCGAAGTGATAATGTTGCTTCCTACCGCATCAAATACTTCATCAGGAATCAGAGTTGTCTGTTTCTCACTAAAAAAATAAAAAGCAAGATCATTTCAGTAAATGAGCCTTTGTCAGCTGCCAAGCCTCTCTTAACCTCTCTTGTTCAGTCTGGATCAATCCAAATTTGAGGACCCAGTCCCTGCAGAGAGCCCACTGGGCCAGGTGTTCAGCTAAGGCAGTGTCTGCCGTCCTGGAGCTCACCAAGGACAGGGGGAATGGCAAACATCCACAGAGAACCTATACAACCCATAGATAATGAATACAAAAAAAAAAATAACATCTGCTTAGGGCAGTGAAGTGGCACAAACAGAGGAATGTTACCTGAGGCCACTTTGCCGGGGAGGTTCTGGGAAGGCTTTCTGGAAGAGGGGCCTTCTGGCTGCATTGTCCAGAGTGGGTGGGAATCCAGCAGTAGGTAAAAAGATGATCCGGGAAGAGGGATTTGGCTCATGTCTTTTCTCTTCCCCCCACCATATGGCCAATGAAGTCTCTCTTCATCCTGATGCAGAACCCCCAACTCCAGCTTTCCCCAAATCACAGCTCGGAGCCACCTCCCTCCTTGTGCCCACTCAGTTACCTTGTTATTCCATATACCACTTTAGCTTTACCCACTTCCAGATATGTAGCTCCTCTCAAACAGAGTGTAAGCTCTCTGAAAAGACCATCCGTTTTTGTCTGTTTACCCCCACACCTAGCCTGGTCTCTTTCACAAAGAAAGTGCTTAAAGTTTGTGGCAGTAATAATTACACGTTTATCGAGTGTCTACCGTGTACAAAGAATGCTATTCCAGAAGAGACCCAACAGCCTGTACCCTAATAGGGGGAACGGGACATACCTAGATCGTCACAATATACAAGAGTGCAGGAAAAGTGAAAAAAGGAAAAAGAAGTGTGAAGTCGGAGGGAAAAGGCCCTAAGCAAGGGGGATCAAAGAAGTGAAGCACCATGGAAAGAACCACTCCAGGCCACGAGGCTCTCACACGTTTGAACAGGTCCTATCAAGCTGGAAAGGCTAAGGCTCCCTGGCAGACTTTGTCTGCTGTCCAGGCTAAGTCTGGAGACGCTCGTCACCAGCTTGGCTGAAGGCTGAGCTCCAGGCCCCAGCTCTCAAAATCCAGTGAAGGGAGCTCGGGCTGTGACCTGTGGGTCAGAGAAAAAAGCAGGACATTGTTGGAGAAGTATGGAAATTAGGTCCACAAACTTCTATTTGTTGATGCATATCCTTGGCTCAGCCCTCCTTTCTGACATCTTTGTCATAAGACTAGTACTTGTTTTGATCCTTGAGGGAACTGTGAGGATGCTCCAAGGGCTCCTTTCTCTGTGACCCAGGTCACAGCCCCTCTTGAGATCACTGTGTTGGTTTCTGACAGTTACTGTGGCCACACTGGAAGACGTATTGCTTAAAAAGCTGTGCATTAGAGGAGGTTTTTAAGAAATAAGTGGGCATAAAGGTATAGGAACGGGCAAGGTAAGAACAGGACAAGAACAGAAGTAGACTGTAAGCTCCCTGAGCGCAGGGACCGTCTTCTGCCTCTTTTGTAGCCCCAGCACTTAGCGCAGCCCCTGGTACAAAGCAGGGACTTCATATTTTCTGACGGCTGACTAAATGAGAGTCGTGAATAAACCCATAATTGCTATGCCTTCTACCTATGCTCTAGGGTTCCATTCCCAGCTTTGCTGACTGAAAACCTCAAGGTCACTTCAGCCTGAGGTGATTCAAAACCTTATGAACCAAATTAAAACTCACAAAAGGCTTAGTTACAAATATATAAAATAAATGCAATATGTAGATATGAAACACATCTATGCAATGCATACACACACATATACACATGATATATTAATTCACAAAGGAAGATCTCTCTGCCCTATGAGGTGGGATTAATCTTCTATACAGGGTCCCCCTTTCCTGGCGGCTAAGTCACTAAGGAAGACAAAAATGTTAGATTAGAAGGGTTGTTCAGTGAGCACAGAATCAGAAAGAAATTCAAAGCCTTTTCTCAAAAGGCCTTGCCATCGAGCCTGGATAGTGCCCAACAACAGATACAGAGCTAGAAGAAACCCCAAGGGGCATCTAGCGCCACAGCCTTATTTTACAGATGAGGAAACTGAGGCCCAGGCAGGGTGGATGAACTGCCAACGCTGCACAGTTACAAGTATCAAGGGCAGAATCTGAACCCAGGTCTTCTGGTTTCAAAAGGCTAATTTTTCCCCACTGAACTGCTTTCTTCTAATATTTGCGTCTAAAGACTTGGCAGTAATTGTCTGGAGGAAACTGGTCACAGTGGTGAAGTGACTCAAGATCACACCATCTAAGGAATGGCTGAAGAACATTTGGCTCCAAACAGACCAGACAGAGGACATGAGAGCTGTCTGTCAAACTCCTGAGGAAAACTGTCCAAAGGGAAGGAGGCGGCCTGGGGCTGCCATGGCCTCCCCCTCACTGGACACCTTCAGCTACAAGCTGCAGAAACTCCCATCGGCCACTCTTGGGCGAGTCTTGGCTGTACTGCTTCCAACTGTGAAACCCTGGCATAGATCAAAAAGCAATTTCTAAGTCAACAGAAAAGCTCAGTATCTTTGTAATTACATTTCAGTTTGGGTGCTTCACGATGACATCCACAAAAGAAAGCACCTTAATATCACGTATATTATTTCCTCCAGTCACACTCTAGGATGGGTTACTCCTGAAAAGGATTCTTGTAAACAGCAAATTTTATTCAAAGAATACAGATTGACAAGATCCAAGATTTACGAGTGGAAGAGATGTCCAAAGGCATCCCTTCTAAATTTACAAAGGAGGAGACTGGCCTAGAGAGTTGAAGGGCACACCTGTCGGAGGGTAGATTTGAACTCGGCTCTTCTGGCTCAGAATCCAGGGGGTTTGCCACCATGCCACACTAGCTATTCTTAACACATTTTTTTCCTATCACGCAACAAATTACGAAAAAATAAAACTGGAAATGTTTCCCAGCTCCTTAATAGAACAGGGAGGGCAACTTTAAATCATGGAACCGGTCTCCTTTCTGACTTGAGTGTTCTGATCTTTGCCTCAATTATCTTAGGCCCTTAGGCTCTGTCCTTCACTCCATGTAACACTTGGAAGATTCCTTGCAATCTTCAAAAGCAACTGTAACAAAAACCTTCCCCGCTACATACCTGTAGTCTAACAGCTTCAATGTTGTGATGGCGTGCGTGTTGACTTTGGCCTGACTTGGCAGGGTCATCGCTGTCTCAATGGGCGTGTCATTTTGGTTTCCTGTATCACCTGAGAAGAAAAAAGGTTAGAGAGGCACACAAATAGAGGTTAATAAATTAAGTAGCTTAAACACATTAGTACTGACATATAAAACTGGGGCATACATAATATAGCTATACCCCTGGGAACATCTTTTTATTTATATGCTTCCCGAGCAATGCCTCAGAAACATCTGAGAACAGAATCCAATGTTCTAGTACCAAGAGAAGCTGATCGAGCAGCTACAAGTAGCTCCACAACTTTCCAATAAATGTTATTTTAGAACATCTATAAGAAAAATCTATAAAGAATAATCAATTTCCTAGGAGAAATAATTGTAACCAACCCTCCCTCATAAAGAAAATAATACAGCACATTTTAAAGAAACTGCTGACCCAACATACAACGTCATTCCCAAAGGATGTCTATCAAACAGGCATTAATCGAATTACAATGAATTTGGTTACTGCCACCCGCACTGACTGTCTGACATCTGTGCATAATCTAATCCGGTGAGTTTTGTTACATGACACACATGGGGGTTATTTCTTCCAACAATTGTAAGATGTTAGTGACAGCGGTCCCGCCCCCCCCCATCCTCAACCAAACACACATTCAAACACAGTCCATAGTCCTACCACTAATCCCTACAGAGACCAGTTAACATTGCCATCCTGTGGTAGAAAGAATCACACAGGTTAAAGGGAGTGGGAAAATGGCATTTTTTCTTTGAAGGCTATAAACTTACATGAGACAAATACATCCTTGGTCTTCCAACTTATATAAAAAAGGAAGTGTTTGCAATAGTCACTCCTCAGAGTGGGAGGGAATGAAAGGCCTTCATTTCTCTCGTGAGAATACAAGTCGTACATGAGTGCCTTCAACAACATGACAGTGAGCCAGGGGCCTTGCAGACCAAGCCTGGCTCACAACACATCAGCCGATACCCCTAGATGATCAATGTCTTCGGCTATGGTAAATACAAAGCACCCTTTAGCCTGCTTATGTGGTCATAGTAGCAGAGGATGCTGATAACTTAGACTATCTATAAAAATGAGCTTAGCTGTCGGCACTGACTGTAAACGTGTGTCATCTTTGTCCAGTGACCAACAGACAGATACACTACTGGGGGGAAGTGAATCATAGCAATCTCAAAATTCTCACTAGAAATAAAACTAGGAGAAAAAGGCGGGAGCTCGATTGGAGAGGACAACACAGGAGGTGGCAGAGCTGATTACATGGTGTGTACAAAGGCAACCAAAAGCCTTCCACGGTACAGTTAGTGGGGATGGCAGTATTCAAAACAAGTCCTTCCAAAAACACCGTCCCAAGGATTGGTGGCAGAGAGGGAAGAGTTTGGAATGTTTTTTAAGAGGCTAAGAAGTTTCCAAAAATTAACTGAACATACGCTGAGATATAAGGTGACTTCAGTGCAAACGTGGGCATGGGGGAGGGCAGCAAAAAGGGTGGTGAGACTGTCCATCTACACACTGCACACCCTTCCTCTGAGAAGACTGGAAATATCACCCACAAAGACTCTGAACTAAGCCTGTTATTTAAGGAGAATGCCCTCTTCCAATGCAGCTCAGCACCTTCTCTGCAAGTGACAGGCTTGGGGCATCCTGGGATGCCGAGAATGACTTGGTCAGGGTGGTACTAGGACCTTGGTCTTCCTAGTTTTCTACCCATTTGCTCTACCACAGTTGGTTATAACAGAAAGAAACGACTGACTGTTACGGTTAGGGAGTCATTTGTAAATCAGCTACACTCAGCCCAAAGATTAAAATCAGTACTACATCAGAAGAATAAGATTGAGGCAAATGTACCTTGACTTATTTTTAAAAGCTGCTGGCTGACGTAAAAAATGAGAAACAGGTAAAAGAACAGATATTAATAGATTATCCCTATTTCCTGACCAAGTTTAAGTAATATAAATCAGTTGTCACAATAAGGAGACTAAAAGAACCCACAATTGCCTGCAAACACTTTAGCTCTTTGCCAGAGAGATGTGCTAGGCCAGGGCCACATTGGTTTTGAATATAAATATACTGATAACAATCTTGGAAGAAATTGTGGGAGATCATTAACAGTCCACCCCCTGATTGGTCAGTCGACAAACATTTATGTGTCAGGTATTGGGCTGAGAAGATACAAGGAAAGGCAAAAACTAACTTTATTCTCAAGGAGCTTACAGACAATACACACACAACTACATACATGGAAGAAGGCCAAGAGAAGATGATGAGAATTCCAGGCATGAAGAACATCTAGTGAAAATGTCCATGTCTTGTGCAAAGAACAGCACGGGGGTCAGTGATACCAGATGTACAATGTGTGTTGGGGGGAGGGGTGGTGTAAGAAGACAGGAGACGTAGGAGCAGCCTGAAGGGCTTAAAGTGACAGATGATTTTATATTTGAGACAGGAGGTAAGAGGTAGCCACTCAAGTTTATTGACTAGTGGGTGATACGGTTGGGATATGGGGGATGAGAGAGCGGGAGGAGGTGAGGACAACACAGACTGTGAACCCAGGTGACCGGGAGGATATAATGGGGCGGGGGGGGGTGAAGGAGAAGGGAGTGTTTGAGGAGAAAGCTGAGCTCGGCTTTGAACACGCCGAATTTCAGATGTCTACAGGCCATCCAGCTCAAGATGCTGAATAGGCATCTGGAGATTCCAGACTGGAGATCAGCAGACAGGTGAAGTGGCTGGATAAGATGATGTGGGAATCATGAACATCGTGATGGTAACTGAAACCATGGCAGCTGATGAGATCACAAGTAAAATGCTACAGAGGGAAAAGCAAAGAGGGCTTAGGATGGCAGGCTTGGGGCGGGGAGAGACAGAGTTTGTGAGTGTGACCTGGAGGAATATCCAGCAAAGGAAAATGAGGCACAGTCAGACAGCATCACAAAAATCTAGAAAGAAGGTATTGAGGCGCCAGTGTCAAAGGTTGCAGAGAGGTCAAGAAGGATGAAGAACAAAGAAGCTGCTGCCAACCTTGGCGGGAGGAGGTTCTGTTGAATGACAAGACTGGAAGCAGGGCTATAGAGTGAAGAGAATGACAGGAAGTAGAAACACTGCTGATGAACTGAAGGAGCACAGCCACAAAAAGGAGGAGAGGACAGCAGCTAGCTGGGGCGCACAGATGCAGGAAGGGATTTCTGAGGCTAGGAAAAATGTGGGTGTTTTTGTAGGAAGGAGAGAAGAAAACCGGAGATAAATCAGCAAGAAGCAGGGGAGTGGGAAACAAGTTTGGAGAAAACTTGATGAGGAAAACAACTTGATCATCTCAAAGATATTTAAGAATGAAACTAGAAGGACAAACAACTGATGAAACATGAGAAAGAATGGTTCAGATTTCAGTTAAAAGAAAAGATCTTCTCTATCAATGGCAGGGAGGACACCCCATTAGGACTCTTGAATCGTCCTTCCCAGAGGTCTACAGATGTAGAAATGCCACAGAAGAAAGAGAAGGCAGGAAGAGAAGGCAGGCTAAACTGAATATATGCAGAGACTGTGCTGGAGGGAACACATTTCTTAGGGTACTGAGGAATCAAATCTTTAAAATCTGAGTCTCAAGAGGCTATCAAATGCCTCGATACCCCAAAAGGGGCATTCAAGAAAACATCTCCCATCTCCGAAACATTTCTGTGAGAATAATTTATACAAGCTCTGGGAGGAATTTTGATTAAGGCACAAGAAGAGAACAGAAAAGTTTTCCCAAAAGATACTCCAAAGCACACCACATTTCTATAGGCTCACAATTAAGTGAAATTAAAGTGATGGATAACCTTTCAAAAACTGAAGTCATTAAAACCACTGCACAAGCTTCCCTAAAGCATCATTCCCACCCCACCTTGAAGCAATTCTATCTTTCCAGGGGTCCTCTATGGTGAAGTTTTGGAACACCACAGGGAAAACAGAGGGAAGGAGGTAGACTGGGACACACTATCAAAAACGAACAGCACAGGGATATCATCAGAGAAAAGAACAACTGAAAAAGGAGGTGACCCAATCGTGAAGCAAAAGCAGGGGATGGAAGAGCAACAGCCCATGAGAGCTCAAGAAATCCAGGGGAAAGACTCCAGCTCAATGCCTGGCCATCCTGTGAGGAATCCTAGGAGATGTGGCCAAGAGCCACAGACAAAAGACAAGTCACCTGTTGTCAAGTCTCTTCAGTTTGACTGGCTGAGCCACTGGACCTATGTCCCCCTTTTCACAAAGCCAAGACCCCTCTATCAAGGTCCAATTATTCCTTCCCCTGCACCAAGGGGCACAATCTGGAGGAGGCACAACTATTGTGCAGAGATGTTTTGATACCCCTGAAATCACATGATGCACATTCATACATGGAAGTTTTAGAGGTCCAAATGTTCTGCAAAACAAAAGAGAACAAGGAACAGCTAAGGAGCTTGGGATGTGGAGTTCAGCGTCTCAAAGAACAATCTTTCCACTCAGGGAAATCAAAGGTTCTATCACACAGTTTGGACTGGACAGGGAGGGGTTTTGTTGGCCCAGTGAGCTGGATGGAAAGCAGCTACAGCAGAAGTGGGGAAAAAGTGAAGGAGACAAAGGGAGAAGGGGGGAAGGAGAGAAAGGAAGGGGGGAGAGAAGAGAAGGGGTACAGGGAGAGAGGGGGGGAAGAAAGGGGGAGGGGGAAGGGGAGAGGGGGAGACAGAGAGAGAGAGAGAGGAGAGAGAGAGAGAGAGAGAGAGAGAGAGAGAGAGAGAGAGAGAGAGAGAGAAGCTTAGCTTAGTAGAGAGAGAAGCACAGTAATAGGGCCTGGTGGAAAGCAACAAAAAGTTTAAATCCCCTTCCATAGAAAGTTTCCTCCCTGTGTCTGCTGTACTAAGAGGCACTGCTGAAAATATCTATCTTCTTGCCATCTCTCTAAATTGTTTCTCTTGACTGGTTTTCTCTTTATGTACAGCCTCTATCTGAGCATCAAAGTTGTGTATATGTCGGTGGGGTCCAGAGAGTGGATATAGGGGACAGGGATGGCATCTGAATACACATAATTTAACTGAC